GGGCAGGGAAAGGTGAGGCCTGGGGTAGAGTGGGGTTGTCCCAGCCCTTTCCCAGGCTGGGAGGGGGAGGGTCATGGAGCCATTTCCTCCTCTGTCCCCTTTAACCAGTCACTCCTGTTTTTCCCTCCCATGTTGGGCCCCTGCAGGACTACAAATACTTTAAATGTCTCTCTTGGCTTTTAGCAATTTCCACTTCCACTGGTAACCTAGGAAGGAACTAAATTTAAATGGCTGCCGTGCTAAGTCGACAAACATCTGAACAGCTGTTTGTCGGCTCAGCGCGCTAGTCTGGACGCTCCGCGCGGACCTGAAAGCCTTTTATCGACATCCCCATTATGCCTCGTAGGATGAGGTTTACCAGGGATGTCGATAAAGGGCTTTCATTTCGACAGGGGAGCGTCCAGACTAGTGAGCTGAGCCGACAAACAGCTAATGAGCTGTTTGTCGGCTCAGCGCGGCAGCCATTTAAATTTAAATGAATCTGCGATTATTTAAATCGTGGCTTCATTTCCCTTTGTCGAACAAACAAATCTACATAGTTCCATTGACGTAGCCATGTAGTTTAGACGTACCCTGAGTTACACACATACAAAATGGGAAATGACTACCTAGGAAGGGATCTGGGGGTCATAGTGGATCACAAGCTAACTATGAGTCAACAGTGTAAAACTATAGCAAAAAAAAAGCAAACATAATTCTGGGATGTATTGGCAGGAGTGTTGTGAGCAAGACATGAGAATTAATTCTGTTCTTCTCTACGCTGATTAGTCCTCAACAGACATGTTGCATCCAGTTCTGGCCACTACACTTTGGGAAAGGAATGGGCATGCTGGAAAAGTCTAGAGAAAAGCAACAAAAATTATGAAAGGTCTAGAAAATATGAGCTCTGAGATTTGAATTGTGGGTTTGTTTAATCTGAAGAAGACTGAGAGGGGACATGATAACAGTTTTCAACTACATAAAAGATTGTTAGAAGGAGGAGGGAGAAAAATTGTTCTCTTTGGCCTCTGAGGATAGGACAAGAAGCAATGGGGTTAAACTGCAGCAAGGGAGGTACCGTTAGACCTTAGGAAAAACTTCCTAACTGTCAGGGGGTACGTCTACACTACAACGTTAATTCGAACTAACTTAGTTCGAATTAGTTAATTCGAACTAACCTAATTCGAACTAACGGATCCAGACTAAAAAACTAGTTCGAATTAGCATTTTGCTAATTCGAACTAGCATGTCCACATTAAGTGGACCCTGAATCAGGCTTAAGGATGGCTGGAAGCAGTGCCGGCAGGGCATCAAAGGAGGACTTAGAGCGTGGAGATGCTGTCTCAGGCTAGCCGAGGGCTGTGCTTAAAGGGACCTGACCCCCACCCCAGACAGACAGTTCTCAGGGGTGCCCCGCTTGCA